TTCGGACGAGTTGTCCAAATGCGTGTGCCATTGAGTACAGCTGACTACTGTAACCTGCCCACGTACTATGTGTATGTCTGGGTGCGGTCAGTGCAACCTCTACAGCTTTGAAAACGCTGTGATAGCTCATAAGCGTATAAGTCGACATTAGGACCCTTAATACGCCCTATCCAGACCATTACAACCCGACAGTTGGCAATGCACACTCCAATGGAGCAGTACACATTGCGCATAGTTATCGAGCTTTATCACGGAAACTCATAACAAAATTGTAACTAAATTAGTTTAGGAAGAGCTCGCTGCCCCGTATGACTATGAGGCCGGATTCTTCACTCAGCCAGTGGATCACTTCGACAATCAAAATCCTAATACATTCGAACAGGTATCCCGCAAACAGCGTTTATACTCTGCAAAGTTGAAGCGAATATACATATTAATCGTACACTCCGGATGCGGATAAAGCCGTGCCTATGATAGGGGCAGATAAATGACGGTTGGTCTGGCTTCATAATAAAAGGGATGGTAGGTGTTTTCAGCTCGTTGGAGCGAATATTATGGTTGATGCAATTTTTAAATACAAGCGTTTCAGCTGCTAACTGGTGAAGTATAAACGCAGCCAGACCAGCAATTTCCACGCGATTGATGCTGTCTTTTGAGAAATATTCTGAGAAAATGATAGCAGCTGTTGTAGCGCTACTTTAAAAACACGCAATGGGCCCAACCAGGTGGACCGATATTCTTGATGATTGGAGGCGAGGGACCTGAGTCGTCGAAATGGGTGCTAAACGAGAACATCACATACTTGACATGGGCAAAGAAGTTCGGAGCAACTGTATATGCTCTTGAACACCGATACTACGGAGAAAGTGTTGTCATCGGGTAAGTAGCTTTCCGACAGGTATGACTATCCCTAAAATCTATGTTTAGCCCTAATGGATTGGAAAATGAAGATCTCACCTATCTGTCTTCCATTCAAATGCTCCACGATGTGGCAAATTTCATTCGAACGGTTAATTCCGAGCTGCCTACGCCAGCAAAGTGGATAACTTTTGGTGGATCGTACTCGGGTAAGTCTTGATAACTAAATAGTCCTCCTCAGTACCCATTCTTACGCAGCTGGTTGAGGAGCGTTGTCATTGTGGATGCGAGAACTTTTCCCCGATCTGGTTCAAGGAGCTGTCGGTTCATCTGCTCCTGTTGAGGCTAAAGTGGACTTCTACGGTGGGTTCGATCGTATGTGTTTATCGTTTTAAATGATGGGAGCTTTCATTGTGAACTGAGTGGACAGTCATGTCCCCGACGCTGTTGGAGTAGCATGGTCACTGAGTCATTTCAGCCTTTTCCCTTTAATCGGAGACAGGCTGATACCGCAAATCTTAAGCTTATCTATGTAACATCCTTACATGGCCAGCCATGAAAGAGACGATTTTTCATAGGATCCTAGTCAAGGATCTATACTGTAAAATGTTGGAAATGTGTTTTCAGAATACTTGGAGGTTGTCGAAAGAGCTGCCAGAGACTACGGTGCTGAGTGTGCGAACAATATAGCTAAGGTACGGATTTCATATTCCTACTCACCCAAATTAACTCGTAACTGCAATGAAGAGCAGAGAAAGATGGGCAAGAAAACGAGGGTAGTGTTCATGAGAGTAGCTTTTGATGCAGCCCTTTCGTGGCAAAACAGACAGATAGACACAGACGTATACAACGCTCGTTTGATAACTATGTAGTTTACGGTTTATTGTATTAGAGTGGTGTCGGCGATGCTTGAAGTAGTTCTCTTAAAGTTGAGTTCACAGTAGCGAATATTCCTACAATTTCTTGAAGATCTTGAGCAGAACATTGCAAGTGATGTTCCAAATGTAAAAGTCAACGCCTGCGCGGCCTGCCATTCACAGGCCTTTTAGAAATTCTATGTAATCGACACGGTTCTTATGGAGACCTAAGCCTCCGAGATACAATCCATCATCGACATATTCTCTAAAAGCCTCCGCAATTTGTAGCAATATGTACAATGGCACATCCTGTTGCAACGATTCTTCCCCATTCATCTCATTAACGAAAGGCCTAAGAAAGCAGATGCAATAGCGTCCTGCACTAGGGTGTTTTCAGAGAAGATCGGCTCGATGGAGCAACGTCGAAATGCTTAAGGGGGTTAAGCCATGTGTAGTCGCTTTCGCAACTGCATTCTGCACTGCAGGAAAGTTCATCCCAATGCCCTTTTCCGCTGCCATATTTTAGTAAACAGATATTGAACGATCATCAACGGGCATGCGGTTGTGCTCATAACAAAAACGAAAGCTCAACAAAAAAAACAACTTCGAAACGCGGTCGTACTAATTCAAACGTAAAAGTACGCACCAAAATAAACCGTACGCCAAATTGATCAATGTTGGCCTCCTGAATTTCCAAAGTTTTCATTCAGGGATTCGACCAAATGCATCAAATGGTTCTCACAGCAGCGGGACGGCAGAAACTATCAGAAATCTTTACGTAAGAGTTATATGGAAGCCATTAACCTCTAAACGAAAACTAGTGTCCACCATTTTGTGAACTAGTTATTCGTGTTTTCGATAGTTTCACCCCTAAACCAAAGGCATTATGGCCAAGTGCAATTTCAGTCTGTCTCCACCTTGGGACGATGTTACCGATGTTAGCGAAACCGATGTACAGTTCTTCTTCTCCAATATCTACAGTCAATTCCAAGGCGCTGTGCAGTACAGCGGCGATAACACTGGGGTAAGACAGTTGAGAGACTTCTTGGTAATACCGCCTTTTCCTTCTTCCCGAGGTCTTGAGCTACTCGTTTAATATCTGCTGGGAGGGAGTCCCACTGTGAGCTTCACAAAGTTGGCGATTTGTGGGCAAAACATCTAGGACGGACATCACACTGCTCCCCTTGAGGATTCCAATGAACGATTATCAAATCTTAACAGCAATAGTTTTCTAAATTTTCAAGGGATACGCTTCCGGACATGGTATTCCTGATATGTGTCGTTTCATGACTAACAGTGCAAAAGACCCAATCCAAAACATCGCCGCTTTCAACCAGTACATGACAGTATTTTATCAGGTTGGTGGTCCTGTGAACTGTCACTGCCGAAAGAGACAGCTTAAAATCTCTCTTTTAAAAGCAAAAGAGATAATCATTCAGGGTGGCAAGCCTTTTGAAAACACGGAAAATGATTACGAAGACTTCGTAACCTATCTTCAAAATGCGCAGGAGTTCGGACCAGGTGGACCCTATTCGTGACTTGATTCTTATGCTTAAATTTTTAATTTTCAAGATGCGGCGGCGTCGGCATTATGGACATGGCAGACGTGTACTGAATTTGGCTATTTCCAGTCTTCAGATTCCAGTTACAGTATCTTTGGCAGCCCAACTCCGGTAAAGTACGTACTGGGGGCAGAAATTTGTTAACATAAACTAATACCGGAATTCGTTTAAGTTTCTGGTGTTTTTTGGTAACAGCTCATTTAGACTAATTCTGTTAACTTTACATGTACGGTTCATGGAGAAAGGATAAAAAGCGTGTTGTAGGGTCCTCACTAACCATTAAAGGTACTGTTCACGATAATTTTGGGATATCTATAGAAGAATAATGAAAGTAGACTAGAATAGTGCAAAAGAGGCGAAGAAAACGTGGAAACCAGCGTATTTTAGGAATTATAAGACTTCAGAGGAGAAGATAAATTAGGGAATGTTGAGCGTTTGAGTTGTAGTTTGTAGTAGTTTGAGCTTTGTGAAGATATATAACAGCAGTGGCCAGCAACTGAAGACCTACAAATCTCTTTTATCTAGTTTATTCACAAAAATGTGCACGGACGTATTTGGTGAGAAGTATACTGCGGGCGTCATCCAAGACAACATAGCGAAGACGAATTACCGATATGGCGGTAGAGCGCATTACAAGGTAAGCATAAGGCCTTTTAACAAAAGGTGTATAATATTTTCTTGGCATGGTCGGTCCCATTACGGAGAGCGAGTCGCACTCAACATCCATGCAGTGCCGTAGAAGCGTCTGAATGTGTATTCGCCCTACACAATAGTTTGAATGATCAGCCAATTTATAAGCCAATGCATTCATTCTCCAGACGGATCCGCTAATGATCAATCACCCTCAGAATAATGGAAGGCCCCAATAGTCTTTGCACATATCAGTCCAAAACTTGATCAGTGGGCCATATCAGCCATAGGGCGGATCTTAGCCTTTTTTGCCTGTTTTTTTTTGTTGAATTTAAAAGACACTTCTTGTAAAAAAATCCCATAGTTATACTGACTTGTAGGTGTTCTAATCCTCACATCATTGCAATCTTAAAGACAGTATTTAGGGAACGAACGTGGTCATCCCTAATGGATCCATTGATCCATGGCATGCCCTTGGCACATACACCTCCAATGACCCATCTGTAGTTTGGTACCTCATAAATGGTAAGTGTACAAAAACTAAATAAAAAGATTCGGCACTATTTACTCTTTACTGCCCCACACTGTCGAGAAAGGACTGGATTTCTATCGAATTTTTTCAAAGAAATGAAACCGGCTAGAAACTCGCCTAGAGGGGTAATTTGACTCGTAGAACACGAATAAATAAATAAAATAAATAAATAAATAAACATCGCATCCACTCATCATGAAAACGTCTGGGACACTAGTTAGGGGCAAGTTTTCAGCAGGAGCGGTGTCCCAGCGATTTGGCGCAGGCGCCTGTAGCGCAAGCGCTAGGCATTTTTATGGCAAATGGATGCAATATTCGTGTTCTACGGGTCAAATTACCCCTGTNACTCCGGTAAAGTACGTACTGGGGGGCAAAAACTTGTTCATATAAACTAATACCGGAACTCGTTTAAATTTCTAGTGTTTTTGGTAGCAGCTCATTTAGACTAATTCTGTTAACTTTACATGTAC